TTCCAAGTATTAATAGTATGTTCCATGGATATATTCTATTTCATTTAAGTTTTTAGAAATGTTACCTAGAAAAGAGGCAGCCACATGTGAAACTGGGATCTTTGCCCTGTGGGTTTGGGAGCTAGTGCTATGAGAGTCCCCTGTCACTTTTGAGCATTTTCATTCCATCCTCCTCTGGACTTGGAATTTGATGAATGCTCAAACTGAAGGGCAGGCAGGACTGGGCTTTTTGGTCCATGTTTCACCTTCAGTATCAGTGCCAAAGGCTGTGTTGGAGGCAGCCTCTTTACAGTGCCCGGGATGCAGCAGGTTTCCCTACAGGAACAGAAAGCCTGCATGGAAGGGACCCTGCTACTGCCGGGACTCTACAGCAAGAGTGGTTCTGTGTGCTTCCTCTCGACACAACTGGCTGCTGACTGCTTCTTTACTTAAGCTCTTTGTTAATGAGCCAAGAACTTTACACAAAATTTGTAAAATCTTCTGAAGTGTAAACAAAAACTCGTATATATATATATAAAGCGTGTGGTCCAAACTTGTTCATAGCCATAAATCAGTTCTATTTGGATCTTGGAGTTGGTGATTCTTTCTAACATACGTTCAAATTCTTCTAAAAAATGTATCAATGCTCTGGTTGCCATCTAGGAACATGGTTACTCCAGAAGTTTGTCTGTGTTTTTCTATGTGTCTTTGCTGGCATCAGAAAAGTATCTTATTTTTCAAAAAAAACACCTCCATGTATGCTTATCCTAGGCTGACAGCAGTAATATAGATACAGAGATGTGCACACATTGGGCTTTAGCCCAGAAAGACCTAAACTACAAACCTCTTATTGGAAACTTAATTTAGGAAATTGTTCTCAGTTCATTATCATTAAAGTATGTAACTTTATTCTCATGTATAACAGTTTTTGCTACAGCAGACTTCTTAGGTTTATAAAGGGAGAAAAAGGTACACATCTACTCTTTTCACTTTAGTGACATTTTTTATGTCATTTGAATGCTCTGCTTGTATTTGTGTTGAGGGCTCTGCTTCTTCTTATTCCACCCATCCCCCTAACTGCAGCAGATATTAAAATCTAGAAAAATGAAATTATAAATATTCTGCTTAAGGAAATATTTTCAGGATATTTTTTAGTAAAGAGCTTATGGCTCCATTGCTCTGACATCAGTAGTTGGCCGTGAAGAACTGTATAATTGGCTTAATGGGCATTTCATTGCCAGTTCATTTTCAGAGTGATTTTCGAAGGATATAGTCAAGGACTGTTGTATTCCAGAGGGATGTATGTGTCATTTTTCCAACCTAAGAATGCCTAGTGGGATGTGTGAAAATTTTTCTTTCTGAGAAAAATACAATATACGCATAGATCAGCCAAAACCCCCTGCTTCCTCCCCATGCTGAGCTCACAATATCATAATTAAATTGTATGATTTAAATGTTTATTAATAACAAGAGTTTTGATATTTATGATTTATTTTCTTGAAATTGGAAAGTATATGGCATTCAGATTTTTAAAATTCCTATTCAAAATATCATCTTTAATATTTACTGCTGTTAGGAACAAGGTGATTTTATGTCCTCTTTGACTTGTTTTGAACATAACATGCAACGTGTTATTTCCAGGAGGCCAAATTATGAGATTGCGGATTCTAGCTAAGTTTCAAGCACTTAGGGGTGTTTGTTGGATAAATAAAACAGTGTTGGCTGATGGATGTAACCATTTTCTCTGGTTGGCAATAAGAGCTTGTGGGAGCCATGTGAGAGGCAAAATTTCATTATAAAGTAATTTTGCAGAGCTGTGTAAGATGTGGATCTTTGAAACAGTTATTACGTATGGGTGCACTTGGGCCCAAATTAAATCTTTGAGAAGTAGGTAAAACTGGGAAAAAATAATAGGGTTAAATTTGGTTTTGCTGTTTTGATTGCTTTTTTTCTTAAAAAAAGTATTTTTTTTCCTCAAAAGGCAAGTTATGAAATGTAAGGGGACTGAGCAATGTACAGATACAGTGAAACAGAGTATAAACAAAAAAATGCCTGAATATCTTGATAGCTGTTTTTCTCTCATTTGATTTTTTTAATGTTCTCAAAGAGCATTATTGTTCTGCATCAGCAACTGCTGTCTGCATATGGTCCTCAGCTTCATCTGATTCAATGGCAATGATGGTTGTAAGGCTTTGTCAGATAATTAGAAAAATCAAAACAGTTCTCTGAACTCCTGCTTAGTCCAGAAGTTTTCATGTCAATTCAAGTTTTGGTCCTGTGGCGTCAGCAACATGTGAAAGAGTATGAGGAAATCGTGCAGCTACAGTTCTTCAAAGCCAAAGGCATCTCCAATTGAATTTGCTCTCAACAGGAGGGCCTTGCAGAGGCTGAGGGACTTGTTTCACTTTACACCCTTGTTCAGCAGTAACACAGACTGTTCTGCAGTTCTCTTGCAGATGGTTGAGTTTTCATGTTTTACTGATTTGTGGGGTGATGGGAGGTGGGAAGATGAGGGTTTGCATCACACTAGTGGGGAACATAGCACTAGAAAAGAATGTTACGTACCTTCCATTTGCTGTGGATGTTCATATAACAAATACTGAACTGAAAATTCTTAGAGAGTATGTGCTCCATAAGTTCCATAAGATGATTCCCAGTATTCAATTACAAACCTCTCTACCCTCTCCCTGCAGTTAAATTTACTATTTTGCGGGGAGGAGGGGGGAAGTCCTTCCTATTTCCTGTATCAGGTACCTGCAAATAGTGATTTGTTCCTCTTTCAAAACTGGAAAACTTTTAAGAAGACATCCTGAAGAGTACATGCCATGTGGTAGCTAGATGGCCTTTTTTTCCAGAGTGTGGAACATGACACAATTAGTGCTTTTCTGCAGCAAAAACAGCAACACCAAATTGAGCATTATGTAGAAGTGTTTACTAGGAAACAACCAGGCAGATGAGGATCTGTTGAAGTTAGGATCCAGTGAACTAGCTAATTAAATTAAGGAAGAGAGAATATTGAAGTAGTAATGGATAAACTGATGGCATGCCTGGAAGCTAATGTGGTTTTGTCAACTCCTGACATTTTATTAATATTCCTATACTCAATATTTACTTTGAAGCTGCAGTCTCTGAAAGCCATCCAGAGACAAGCTATTCCATGACATCTTCAGATTTTGTCTTATATATTACAGTTTTTCACCTTTTGTGGGAACAGAAGAAAAAGTGTGTAAGCATGACTTAAGTATGTTAAGTGTTTAAAAACAGACTTTTAAAAAAAGGTCTTGGTATTTTTGGACCAGTCATTTTATTGCTTGGTAAACTTGGCTTGATTTTTCAACATTTGACATTGGTGACAAACATTAGACATTGCTGAAGAGGCTGAGACTGGTTTTGTCTAGAATGCATAGCTCTGTAGTTCTCATGGTATGTGTTTGCACATGGCTGTGTTTGCAGTATGGTTCTAATTTTCAGACATGTGTTGAGCACTTCCTAGCACATATATATCTGAGATCAAAGCTGAGCCTTTGGCTTGTGACTGAAGTAGGATTCAGTCTTTGTAGCTCTGGAACTTCCTGAGCTGATGATATGTCAAGATGGCAGGAAAATGCAGTGGCTAATGGTTAGAATGTTTTATTAAAGGTAATTTTGTTGGGCACATTGTGAGCAATATGGTAATTGGTGGCTTACAAAGATATTGTGAAGAAAATAACACCTTTCACTATGCAAGGCTACTTTGAAGAAATAGCTTTGATGATTTCAGTGGAATGGAAATGGGATGGTTAATATTTACTACAATGGTTTATCTCCTTTGAAAAAGAAAAAACTATAAATTACCAGTTTTCATCACAGAGCAATGTTTACATGTGTATACTCTAAGGGTAGCTGTTCCTTGATATAATGGATAGTCATGACTGCATGAAGAAGGTAAAAGGTGATTCTGAAAGCAGCACAAATGATTTTGCTAAGAGAAAAGATGACTGAGAAATCTAACAATAAAATAAAAGGATGGCACAATAGGAGGCAAAATTCAATAGTGACAGATGCATGCTAATTTTCATTGGCAAGAGTTGGAATTATTTGTAAGTATTGCTGCCTTCTGTTTGTTGGTAATATCAAGGCAGAGCTATAGTCAATGAAAATGCATTTAAGACAGTGAGAGCTGTATTATGCAATTAATCTGTGAAGCATAATACCACAGGATATCATTTCACCCTGGAGTCTAGAAGGAATCAAGAAAAGCTCAGTGATGTGTACCTAATCAATTATACATTTAATGGAATATTAGTATCTGCTTCTATCCTATAGACTGCCTAGAGTGAATTGCTAACTAAGAGGGAAATGGAAGGTGTTTCCACAGATGGGTATTTTCTACCCCAATGTTTCTTGGAGATGTGTGCAGTTTTCTGAGACAGTGGAATGGTCAATTCATTGGTTGAAAATAATAATTTTGGTTCAGAGACAACAAAACCTACTTCTTTTCATGTTGGCTAGTATGAAATCAATAAGATATTTGGATTATTTGGAGCAATGTTGTCAAGTAATTTTGAGTAGATTAACGATGAGAGGTAAGATAGACTTCAAATGTTACCTAATGAATTGCAAAAAATGCAAAAATAGATTAATTTGCAAATCTTGTGAGAAAACTAGTAGAGAACTGCTCCAACATAAATACATTTATATTTACTTCCAAATTAAAATAAAAAAAATTGGAAAGACAATATTGCAACTTGTGTGTGTGCAAATGCCTTAGAGTTTTCAGTTACTAGTAGGACACTGTACCTTAGTCATTGAATCACTGTGGTGTATTTTAGGAGGTTAAGAATGACATTGTCCAATCCATTAATAAGTTGGTTGGGTAGATCATTGGTACATGTGATTTCTGCTTTCACAGTTGTCTTACTTTAGTATATATTCTTAATGCCATGTTCTTTCCCCAGTTATAAAGTGACTGTATTTTCTTATTCTAACTAAAATATATATTGATGTAACTAACTTTACACTTTTTTTGTTTTCTTTTCCAGTTTAAAAGAATGCTGAACCGTGAGCTAACCCACCTCTCTGAAATGAGCAGGTCAGGCAATCAGGTCTCAGAATATATATCAAACACTTTCTTAGGTAAGACTATGAAGTGTTAACTTTTTTTGCCTTTGGGGGGTTTTTCTATCTCTCTGGGCTCTGTTAGAGCCTAAATGCAAGTGGCTTTCCATATTAATTTCTGCTTTCAGAAACTGTGCATTTAGCATATTGTTGTCAGCATTTGTGCACAGAGATCAGGTAGATCCACTTCCTCACAGCTCAGTTAATTTGTGTAGGTGATTTCCCCGTGTGTGTAATTGCAGATTAATATTCATATACATATTACAACTACTATATTGATGCCCTATTAAGAAATTAATATAATGAATTATAGAGAATCAGAGAGATTCACAGAATATCCTTCTGAACTGGAAGGGACTCACAAGGATCATCAAGTCCAACTCTAAAGTGAATGACCCATACAGGGCTCAAACCTACAACCTGGCTTTATTAGCACCATGCACTAACCAACTGGCTAGTCTCAGAGTGGTAATTATAGATATATTTACGCATTAAAGAATTCTACCACTATATTTTCCTACTGGAATTATTGCAGAGGTTTCAGTCGGCTCATGAAACCTTACAGGTTTCCTCATGAAATCTTACAGCAAACAGTTAAGATATTTTGGTATTCCCTGTTTGCACATGCACAGTTAGGTGCATGTGACTAAATAAACATCTGAACAGACTTTTTCCAGAAAGTTTTTGCAGCTCAAGATCTTGGCATGCTAGGATGTGAGCATTAACAAAAACCCAACACAATATCACAAACAATATGGTTCCTTAACCATGGCGCTTTTTTCCCCTTAAAATTCATGAAAATCAAGAAAACTTTCATATTGCTGATTTTGAACATGAAGATAAAGTTACTATACCAATCTCAAAACATGTTTTGAGCAAACTACCATTGGTTCATAAAGACAGTGTAATAAGAGAGGCACAGTCAAATACACCTAAATTAGGGTAACAAGTGCTTTAAAAAGTGACAGTCATACATGTTAATATCCATCTTATTCTGTGTGAGATACCATAGCTGGTGCTTTTTGGGGCTTTTTTGAAAGAAGTGGGGTTCCTGTGAAGTACATTTTATCCTGTCCCCCTGTCCAAAATGGATGGCTGAATGTGTTTGTTCAGCTGGCCCATGGTTGCAGCAGTGTGCCAACTGCTGCAGCACAGCAGCGTTTCAGACAGTGGGAGAGGGACAAGCCCCTGTCATGGACAAGCAGTATTGCCCAGCTTCATGTGCCCTGAAAACCACAGTGTGCAGTTGCCTGAAAGGATGACCCACTTAGGCTGTGGAGACTGCAATGCCAGCTTCTGCTTGCTTTCACTTGAAAGCTTGAGACTTACTTTGACAGGGTAAAGAAATGCATCCGTCAGCCTTTGGCATGAGATCTCAGTCACGAGCAGAAAGAGGGCTGGAAAGGCAATCACTTCGAATTTACTGGACCATGGATACTGTTTTCTGTCTGCATGAAAAACTAGATACTTAGAATTGTAGGTATAAGACCAGCACAATAGCGAAAACACCTCATCTACAGATGTATTGTATAGTTTCAAAATATGCAGTCTAAATATATAGGTTCTGAACATCTATGCAAAGATAAAACTTTCTCTCCCTGGAAGTATTTAATGAGTTTATTATCAAATTTATTTTTTTAATATACAACTTACTTCCACAATATCTACAAAATTTCTCACATTTGTAAGTTAGGAAAGTGTCGTGAGAAAACAGGGTTTTCTGTTCTCCTTACTAAAAAAAAACAAAACAAAACAAAAAAAACCTAACTTTCATAACAGAATTGTATCAGTAACTTCTTATACTGTAAACACTTTATGTCAGACCAAAATAATCTGAACTGCCTAAAGATTTCTTGGGATGGTACAGCTTCATCCTCACTAATGCCTCTTCCCTGATAATTATTTTGACCAGAAGTATCAAGCACAAACTTAGTCTGAAAAAAAAACTGAAGGATCTCAGGCCCTGCTGTACAGTGAGTGCTATGATAATCCACAGGCCCATCTGAGACTAATTTAAATCTTTCTTTAGAATTTGAAAAGAGCTGGGACATCTAATCGAAATGTTTTCCTTTAGGGCTATATGAATGTTTGAAGTTATTTACAGTGATAAGAAATATAATCTGTGTATAAGACATAAGGCTCCTACATTGTGTATAATAATATGCAAAGATTCCATTTTCAGCATCATTAATCTGTTTTCTATCAATGGAAAATGTTTGAGAACCTGCAATTGAGCATAGCATAAACAGGGTGAAAACGGCAAGCTGTCTTTTCTGGATGTTCAGATGGGCACAGCTCTGTGTGCTCAAAGTTGCAAAAGCAGAGGCAGTCCCATGGAGTTTCTCTGGAGATCTAAAGTCATTCAGACAGACACTTCCTTTCACTTGAGTTAGTCTGACAGCTCAGCTAGCGAACCTCTGTTTGATGGGTCTAAACTTTGTGCATATGGCTGAAACCATAAACATCAAAGCACAGGCACAAGTCACAGCTCCTCATCTGTTGTCAGTTTGCACCAGACAAGGGCTGCCACGCTCTGCCTCCCCTTTTCTCCTTACAAGGAGAGTGGTGAAGTACCAGGGACTCAGTGCTGTAAGCTACAACCTGGTGACATTTCCAAAGTCTCTTCTTCATTGTGATTTGTTTGGAATTTGAGGTGTCCATTAAATGCATCTGCTAAAGGGCAATTAAAAAAAAAAAAAAAGGCAGGTAAAAAGGGAAGAAGCAAACATATAAAAAGCTCATAATTAGAAATGGACTTGCTAACCTCATCTGGTTTCAAAGTCTGTATTGGAAATGAATATTGTAGAAAGGAAAGAAATACACATGTAAAAATCACAACTTTTCTTACTTTCTTTTTAAATTTTATTTTGGCTTAAGGGTTTTTTTTTAGCTGTTTTGGCTCATCTCCTGTGTCAGAAACATATTTTCTGGATTTTTGTAGTTTTACTCATATATTCCTTGAGGTCTAGAAAAGGTGGAGGTACATTTCAACAAAGAAAAAGAGGTAATTTGAAGGGAGTCATTAAACTCTTGGTTGAAATACAGTAAGAATAAAAGAAGCAAAAAATAATTCATGTTCCTAATAGTTTTTTTTTTTTTTCAGAAAAGCCCTTCATTGCACTAACTTGGGTTTCTTTGGAGCAGGTGTTTGCAGTGCTCCACGACCCCATACTGGTTGTACAGCAATCCTGTGGCAGTTGCCTAAATATATTTTACTCTCAGTTTAATTCTTGTCTTAAGTTTTGCTGGCACGTATGTTGATTAATTTTATTAAGTGATGCTGCTGATACTGCTACGGAGCCAAAAGCCCACAGCAAAATTTAGAGGTTAACAAAGCACTCTCTCATTTTGTCATTATTATTGACTCTAGCTGGGAGCTGCAGAAATGCTGCACTGGTGGTGTGAGCTGCCAGCAATCCAAAGTGCTTGTAATGTGGCTTGGAAAGCACAAAAGCCTTTCCAGGTTGTACAGTCATAGTAGACAGGACCAGTCCACAAGTATTAAATTCTTTGAGTCTTCAAGTCTTGAAAAAGTTTTCTAAAGGTTTACATGAGGACACACATAGACACTTTTTGAAATACAATTTCAGAGAATGTTTCTCCTGAAAAAAAAGAAAGAAAATTATTTTTTCTTGCGAAGTGTATTCATGTGCGGTTGTAATAACATTTTTATACTGAGATGATTGACCCTTTCTACAGCACTAGGGATATGGCAGAAGTGGTAATCAGACAGTCACAAGTTGCTTTTAAAGCCAATTCAGAAATAATGAGACAATTTGAGTAAAAGAGATCTGCTTTTACTGAAGTATAGGTCTATATTTAACTTTTCATGAGTTTAGTGATCTTGATAGAAAGAATCTAAATCTTAAAATAGGTTCTTCTAAGAATTAAAAAGTCCATAAGGTGCAATTCAACAGTCAATTTTATAATATTTATAATTCTTTTATAAATTATATTCTTTTTATTCATTCTTTTGAAGACAAGCAACATGAAGTTGAAATCCCTTCTCCAACACAGAAAGAGAAAGAGAAAAAGAAGAGGCCAATGTCCCAGATCAGTGGAGTCAAAAAACTCATGCACAGCTCCAGCCTAACTAATTCCAGTATTCCCAGGTTTGGAGTTAAAACAGACCAAGAAGATGTCCTTGCCAAGGTAGACAATATATATATGTCCTTGAAATTATATGAGCAGAGTGTGGATTTTTCTGTATTGTTCATCCTCTGCTTATACACATTGATTTCAAGCTGCAGCACCAAGCATTTATATCACTTGAAATAATCCAAATTTATTGGAGAGGAAGAATAGCAAGCAAAATCAGAAACAGACCATAAGGGTTAATTTCAGCATGAAGATAATTTCATCTGGAGATAGAATGTAAATTAGCATTTGTGTATGCATTAAGAAAGTTTCCTATTCATAAATATTATCTGAAGATTGAAGAATAAACATATTGTATAATATCACATGAATGAAAATGTAAGATAGCAAACTTATTTTTAAAAAATGCACAAGGGTATACAGCATTAGAACTACCCTTCCTATTTTTAGCTGTATCATTTTATGTGCATTCTTTCTCTTATTTTTTAATGAAATTTCTTATTATTTTTTGCACCAGCACCTAACTACTTGGTAGTAACAGAAAATTGATATAAAGGGATTTTTGATCGAGTTATGCCTCTCCTAACATTTTCAGGAATCTTATTTGAAGAGTGTTTCTGAGAACCAGGGAGAGAGCAGCAGAATTGCTGCATCTCTGGAGGTTTCCTCCTCACTGAACTTCATTGTCAATGGACAGTGAGATAGCAAAGTGTGTCAGTTAAACTCATTCAAGATACTGTAGAGTTTTTCCCTCTGGGCCAATCCACTTAAGAGGCAGTCTTTCCTGCTTAGTAAAATTAAATCTGAAAAATGGGTAGATGTAAATTTCGATATTGCAAGATTAGTAGCAGCTGCAGAGTTTAAAGTTTAGCCCTTGCAAAGTTTAGGAAGTAACTTGCATAGTGGCCAGGTCTTAATGAGCCCTCTGTTTGTAATTGCTTCTCTGAAAAATTGCAGGAATTTTTGTGTTAGATTTTAACCTGTTCATTGCTTGATTCTACTCTAGGAACTTGAAGATTTGAACAAGTGGGGTCTTCAGGTTTTCAGAGTAGCAGAGTTATCTGGAAACAGACCTCTGACTGTCATCATGCACACTATTTTTCAGGCAAGTATGAGCAGTCATGCTGCTTTTTTCTTATCTTGGAGACTGTTCTGTGCTTTGAAACCTAATTGTTTTTCCTCTACTTTTATAGGAGCGGGACTTGTTAAAAACTTTTAAGATTCCAGCAGATACTTTAATAACTTACTTGATGACCCTGGAAGACCATTACCATGCAGATGTGGCATACCACAACAACATACATGCTGCAGATGTTGTTCAGTCAACCCATGTCCTACTATCCACCCCAGCATTAGAGGTAAACTACACTGAAGAAGAAAAGTAGCAGTCATGAGAGAAGGGGATGCACTGAGAGTCTCCTAAACTAAATATTAAAGATCTTAGTTTCCACAAAGTTTGTAGTGGAAAAAGAAATCTTAGCATTTCTTTAATTAATTCTGTTCTTTTAAAGATATTTTGTGAGGATCAAAGTTACATGTAAATATTTTGCAGAAAACGTCACTTCATTTTAAATCATGGAAATTTTTGTTGTCATAATGTTTTTCATTGCAAACCAATGCATATATTTTTACCATCTTATTATTACAGAACATCCTGTTCTGTAGCTATTTCCCATATGGGACTCTACCTAACCACAGTAAGTGAGTAAGTGGAATTTCTTAGGAAGGTTTATTCTTATCCAGGAAGACTACTTTTGTATTTGTTTCTAAAACAGATTGGAACATGTACTAAATTTTCACTGAACTAGCTCTTTTTTTACACTTCCCTCCCCCAATATTTCAAAAATTTTTGGGAAAACAATTAATCTGCTCTTTTTGTAGCAATTCTCTTCTTGAAAGACCTTAAATCTCTGAAGTAGAAGGATGTTAAAGATGGAGATTTTCCCTCTTTTAAGCAGAGTTCAGGTCTTAACATAGAAAATGTTAATGTTGATATATCCCTGCAAATGGATAGAAAAATCCAGGTAAAGGAAGCAGTAGGAATTTTATTAGTTCAAAAGGATTTACCTTCATTTTCAAGAAGGGCTGCATTTTGACTCTCCTATAATGGTCAATATGTCATGTTACTGAATACATCTGTATTACCGTCTTCTTAAAAAGAGGGTTATAAGTGGACCTTGGCAAGTTTGGATCCTCAAAGACTTGGAAATCTCTTGAGAAAAATATTCTTGTTCTCAAGAAGAAAGATCAAATAATGTTCTTAAAACATCCCTGGCTTTACCACACAGCTGATCTAGTCATCAGTAAAATTTTGGGTTTTTTTTTTTTCAGATCTGTTTTTTTTCATGGCCTTCTTCTCAGCAGAGCTTTAGCTGGTGAAATGGCAGTGTCTGCCCAGTGCCACTGCTGGTCTTTGCACTTCTGAGCTGTTCTTGATCAATTTTGAAAGCATTTGCTTCTTGTGGGTGCTTCTGACTGCAGGGCACTGGGCTCAGTGACATTCCAAGTCCATTGCAGTCCTCTTTTCCTATCTTACTAATAATCTCATAAAAATGGAAAATCAGTAAATGCTAAGTGAGATATTGTGTAGTCTGTCACTATTTCCTTTAGCATTATATAGGAGATGTGCATCTTTCAAGTACAGGATGATACACAGGAGTCAAGCTGAAATATTTAATTTGTGCTATAACTTAGAAACCTCTACTTAATTGCCTAATAAAGGTAGATTTATTTACGGACTGAAGTTGAAAATACTTCAGTTATGACAGAATTTAGTGATGCCCTCTGTATGAACTACAAATCACTTTGGCCAAACTTGAAATATTTATGAAATTCTACATAATTGATGATTTTACAAGGGTTTGATAGCTTGTATGTAAAGTCTCTGGAGATCTTGGTACATTTCAAATGTGTTTTGCTTGCTCACATCCAGACTCAAGTATTATTTTCAATCGTTTTTATTGAAAATATTTTTTTTTTCCACTGGTGATTGTCATTTCTGTTTCATTATATTCTAGGCGGTGTTCACTGATTTGGAGATTCTTGCAGCAATTTTTGCCAGTGCAATACATGACGTAGATCATCCTGGGGTTTCAAACCAATTTCTTATCAACACAAGTAAGTTTGATGTTTAGTGGTTTTCTCAAGACTTTGCTGTGAGGTCTGCACATAGCACCTGAAAAATACCACCAGTTCATTCTTTGTTTGCTTCTACCTCTAACTTTTCTCAGTAAATAGATAGAGGTTTATATTTTAAACCTGATATTACTTTGCCTTTTTTCTAACTTTAGAAATGATTTACATAGTACACTCTTGCAAGAATTACTAAGGTATGAGCTATAAACTGGCATTGTTTCAATATATTGCATGTTTTATCTCCTGGAAATATAGTTGATTTACATTAAATAGTTCAATTTTTAGGAAGAGAATGAAGGAAGATTAAAAAAAAAGAAAAGCAAGACAAGAATTTATGTGTTTATATTAGAAACATATGATGTGACTAAGGAGAGAAATTCAGAAATCAGAAAAGCAAGTTTCTTTTTAGCAAACAGACACTCAGAACAATCTCTGCCTGGATCCTGTACTTGGCTTTTGATCTCTCATGCTTTGTAGACTGAATTTCCTCACCCGGTTTCTGCAGCTATAATAAATATGTTTGGTTTTTTCTGACCCCAATGTTATCTCCAAATTTGAAACCCAGTGTACTTCTGCATTCCTCAAGGCAGTTGTTGGCAGCCTTGCTGAACCTCTATCCCCTCAGTCATCTACTGAAAGAAAAACACTGTTAACTTTATTGAACCTGATCATGACATATTTACTCAATAGTTTGTTGCCCCAGTGGCAACTTGCTTGGATTTTGCTGCCTTCTGTCACTATTATTGCCCTTTGAAGGTCAGTACCAGTTCCATCATACTATGTTAATTCTTCTGCTCTCTGACAACTTCTTTTATGACCCAGAAGTGCAAAGTTTAAAAAATACTAATAATCCAAGCACAAAAGAAGAAAAAGCAACAGAAATGGAAACATGCAAGGGTTGTGTATTTGACCCATCTGGTTGCACGTTTATGGATACTGTCACTTCTGCACATGGGCAGAATCTATTTCACAGGTATTAAAATAGAATGACCCCAAATCAACAGTAGAGTTGGAAGAAGGGAGCTCCTCTTCTGACTCATTGTTGTTGTGTATTCAAATAAGACATGCACTTCAGTTTAGCCTGCACCTAGTTTTGTTTGTCTCAATGGCCTAAGGGCCATCCTATAATTAAATTGAATTTGATGACTCATCCTCATGAAAGAGGATTAAGATTGACTCTGGATTTTTTGTGCTTTACTGGAGACCAGTACAGTTCAGCAGTGCAGGCAGAGAGTGAATCAAGCTTTGTGCCAAAACCAAAGAATTCTTAATTGAATCTTAAGAGTGGGCGCATGTAAGTAAAGCTTTTTCATTGCTTGTTGAGTCAGAAACTGAGTACCAGGTTATACTGGTGGCTCCAGGGTTCTGTGAGGAAACCAATTAATTGTTTAGGTTTAAGAGTGTTGACTTAGTTGAAGGGATGAGTAGTGGTGCTTTACTTCTAGTTAGACAGATTGAAATTCAGCTAGTGTAGGAGTCATACTCATGCTGATAATTACCCGCTTAAAAAATACATCTTGTTTCTCTTAATTCAGCTTTTGATAAAGGAGGCTTATGTGTCAGTCAAGTAAAAACACTAATTGAAGCTTTCAGCTGTTGCAAGGCTGAAAGAAACAAAGAGATTTTGTTTATTTTAAATTGTTCTGTGTACAAGGAAGAAACTGCAGGGACAGAGACAGAAAAAGATCTGTCTAATGTTGACTTCTCAAATCCAAAATTTTTAACCTTTAGAAGATAATTCGCTTCCATCTAATCTTGTTTCACCAGTGAACCAAACAATGTATTAAGATTTCACTAAATATAAGAATGCATTTAAAAAAAACATGATAGACTTAGTTACTTAAAGTGTGTACATATTTCCCATATTTTCTTTTTTTTATAGTCAGTCTTATGACTTTTCTATTATTTTCCTATATAAAGTCTATCACAGAGTTATTGACTAAATGAATCCCTCTTGAATGTTATTAAATAACAAACAAATATGAAGTACCTTAGCATCAGATGAGATGTTTATTTTATCACTGTAACTCTGTCCTTCCAGAAAAATATTCTTGAATCTTACAATGTCTTACAGAGGTTACCAAGGGGGAACTTTCTTCCATTTTTATATCCATTTTGAAGTTGAGTGCATTTTAGCTGTGTCTGTAGCTCTAGCTCTTCCAAAGTATTTTGGCAATGTGGAGTGTTTTGCAGTTGCAGCAAACCAGAAGGCTGTTTGAAAGGAAAATAAACTAGTGCGTTATTTCTGCATGAGAAAAACAAGTATGCAAGCTTTGTATGTGTTCTGTGAAAGACAAAGATCATTTTACAAACTTGCTTTCTTTCTGCTTTTGCTATTATGGTTTTGCTGTCTTTGGGATAAGGAAAGGCAGAGGAAGACTTTCCTGATTCAACAGATCGATTTATTCAAGACAGGAGAGGAAGACAGCAGGAGAATAGATAATGAGGTTAATGAAATCTGAAGATCAAAGCTTTTAGAGACCTCCCATTGAACCAGAGGCATTTTAAAATATAGCTGGTGTAAAAGAAAAAAAGAGGACTGAGAGTGGAATAGACTGATGTATGTTTAGACTTAGGCTAGAACAGCTGCAATAAACAGAAGATATTATAGCACAGAAGTATGATCGCAAAAAAATTAATTGAGTTTTTTATGATAGATTTATTTACAAGCTGTATCTTAAAGCATAAGCAAGCTGACTGTGCAGTATTCCTGGATTAGAGCTAAAGCTGTGCAGACAGTTTCATAACTGCTTTGATTTTTCAGAGCTGTCTGTTCAGCAGGTCTAAGCTGACCTTACATGTGTGCCTTAGCACAGGCATGGCTGGGAAGTGTGTGTTATTCTCACAGTCATATGGGTGACTGAGGTAAGAATAATTCCGTTGGTGAAGACACTATTACAGACAGCATCAGGGACTCACCATGCCCAAACACAAGGCAGCATTCAAAGCCATTGCCTGCAGTTTCACACCACATGACATTACATGGAAAAGACAAGCATAGCTGTTACCATCCTACCAGCCTTCAGTTGTCATGGACTAACGACTGTAAGGCTAGTTCACTAGGCATCTTAGCATCTTAGATAACTGCAGAAAGACATGATTTGAAAATCAAGAAGCTTGTGCTCTGCAACAGACCTGCAGAAAAGCCTCAGCCTCAGCTGTGTATTCCAAGGTCAAAGTGCTGGGAAGCTGAAACTTGACTAGCAGTAGAATTTTAGGTGTTGTGACGAAGAGAGGCATGAGAAGATATCAGTGTGTTTTAGCTGAGGTGTGTTTATGCATATATTATGCATATAATATTTTCTAAGTTACCTCTTGCAGATTTTAAAATTTATTCTAAAAATTACCTTTCTTATATTTTTTCTAACTTGCCACTCCAGACACGTGTTCCTGCATCATTGCAAAGCGTTTTCTTTGTTTTGCTCAACTTTGGCTTGACCTAGTAAGTTACTCAGTGAACAATTCTGTAACTTTCAGGGCTGCTTCTAATGTTCTAAAAGTTTATCAGTAAATCTAACAAGATTTACTACATGTAATGCATGTAATGAATTTGAAAAAGATCTTAAGGGATTTGGTAAAAGCACAGGCTTTAGTAACGTTCTGCCCTGCAATTGTTATTGCAGATTCTGAACTCGCCTTGATGTACAATGACTCATCAGTACTGGAGAATCATCACTTGGCTGTGGGTTTCAAGCTGCTGCAGGAAGAAAATTGTGACATTTTCCAGAATTTGACCAAAAAACAGAGACAGTCGTTGAGGAAAATGGTCATTGACATTGTGAGTTTTAAGACTTGGTCTTCCATAGAGCTAGGCCATTGAGTAATAAAGCACGGAAGCATTTTATGATAAATGACATGTCATCAGGCCCGTGAACAATAAAGTGAAAGTTTGAAGTTTTGTCATATCTTAGCCAAATACAAATAGTGGGTCCTTTTAAGTTTCACTCAGTTTCTGTGCATTTCTGGAAGGCATACTTTTCTGTTTCAAGCTGGTTTTGTACTGACATGACGCTATTCTACCATTACAGGCAGAAATTTGCTACTGAATTAATAATGAATTTGGGCTGATCAGTTCATTCTGAGCAATGTTGAACAATGATTCTTAAAAAAAATAATATGAGGACCTACTGTTATGAACATACAGGACTCTTACTTGTATCATGTATTCAGACATAGAAGCTGAATTCCTTCCAAAAAATGTTGATTTATATGTTCAATTTATATGTTTCTAAAAATTCCAGTAGAATAATTTACATAGTGTTCTTTTTTTTGGTTTTTTTCTAGGTACTTGCAACAGATATGTCTAAGCACATGAATCTACTGGCTGATTTAAAAACTATGGTTGAAACTAAAAAAGTGACCAGTTCTGGTGTCCTGCTTCTTGATAACTATTCAGACAGGATTCAAGTAAGGAAATGCATCTGAAAATGTTCACTTGTATTACACACTTAATAACATTGTCTTCCCCATTCTCCAGCATGGATTAGAGCTGTCTCTTTCACACCATGATTCGCTGCTTCCCTCTGTTTCCTCTGTGGTCTAATGACATGGTTTAAGTGATTCTCTGGGAGACTAATGAAGTGCTAGGGTAGTTCAGGACTAAATGAGGCTTTGGCCTTCCCTTCAAATTATCAAAAAGTGATTCTTTTTCTCACAAGGGTTTTGTGACCTTTATAGTGGCAGAAGCCAGGTAATTCATGGCTGTTACTGCAAGTGTGAAAATCACGCAAGCACCTAATTTTTGGCTGTTTAGAATAAATTTTGCATTATGTGTATCTTCAAGATTTTGTTTTACAGTCACCAGAAATGTAAATACAAAAGGAGCTGCTTGTCTTCAGTGCAATAACACCACAGGTGTTCAATGTATTCTAGGTTCTTCAGAATATGGTGCACTGTGCAGATCTGAGCAACCCTACCAAGCCACTCCATCTCTACCGCCAATGGACAGATAGAATAATGGAGGAATTTTTCCGTCAGGGAGACCGAGAACGAGAGAGGGGAATGGAGATAAGTCCCATGTGTGATAAGCACAACGCATCTGTAGAAAAATCACAGGTAATGGATTTTATAAGGCAGTTAAACCTTTTAGAAGAAAAGGATGCTACATAGTCATGTTTTGAGCAATTTCTGAATGCACTTTTTACTTTTCTTCCTCTAAGCTAATTAATTCAGCCCCTCAGTAGTAAGTGAGGCAAATTGAGACTTTTACTGTGAAAACGTAGAGCGTGGCAGTATGTTTGCTGAAGGAATTCCATCACTGTCCTGACCTGAAAAGCAGCATACGTGCCAAAAGAGATAATTGTACAGCTGACTGGGGTTTCCTTCAATAATGTAGTTAAATATAAAGCAGGTATTTAGCTCACTAGATGCAGTGGAGTTGTTTGAAATGTGCAGTTCACTTGAAAACAAATCCTTTCCGTGCTGTTATCCAATATCCTGAATCAGACTTCTGAAAAGTAAAAGACCTTATCTGTTATATAAATTAGTATGGTTTCCTTTCAGCCACCTCTAAGGGCAATGTATCTTGTCTCTCTTCCTAGCATTATATTTCTCATGCTTTGCATGACTTATTCATTTCTCTGTGAGTAATCATATTCTTGCATTATTTGAAATAGGTGGGTTTTATAGACTACATTGTTCATCCTTTGTGGGAGACATGGGCAGATCTTGTTCACCCGGATGCCCAGGATATCTTAGATACACTGGAGGACAATCGAGAATGGTACCAGAGCACAATCCCTAGAAGTCCCTCTCCTGCTCCTGAAGAAAAGGAAGAGGGAAAGCAGGGTCAAACTGAAAAATTCCAGTTTGAATTAACGCTGGAGGAAGACGGTGAATCAGACACTGAAAAGGACAGTGGAAGTCAAGTAGAAGAAGACACCAGCTTCAGTGACTCCAAGACTCTTTGCACCCAGGATTCAGAATCCACTGAAATTCCTCTTGATGAGCAAGTAGGGGAAGAAGTGGAAGAGGAGGAGAACCAAACAGCAGAGCCTTGTATGGTAGAAGAACATTCTCCTGACACATAACAATGAAAACGCAGTCTCTTTCTCTCTTGCTCACTCCCTTTCTTTTTCCTCTCTCTCTCTTTTTTTTTTCTTTTTTTTTTTTTAAAGGTAGGCAATGATTTCCAAAGTATATGTCACATACCACAACCATGGTCAGAATTTGGTGTTATCTGCCAGAATGATTGTTGATCAAAACTGAAGTTGATGATTCAGTTTGGCACTCAGGAATATTGCAAACAGAATTTTCACCTCCATGCCATCAGAAAGCAGGGGGAGAACATCCATAAATTACATTTTAATAAGGTCCCTATTTGGCAGATTCCATTAAATAAAGCCAATGCTTTCAGAGGAGTACCACCTGCCAAACGAATGTTGGTGTGCTTTGATAGTTTTTGAATTCATTGTATTGTATTGTAAGACAGTGGATAACGTTCATCTGTAGAGGAAACAGACAGAAAAAACATTGAGGTTCCTACTGGAAAACAAATTCACAAAAATGATGGGACACAAATGGATTCTGTTACCAACATGAAGATAAGCTGTGAAAATTACATAATTTTCTAATTTCTAATCTTCTGAGACATGACTGAAAAAAATGTGACCCAGTGGGTTGCACTAACCTCTCCATTTTGTATAATATGTGAAAGAGAGATCTTTTCTAGAGCTCACTTTTATTAAATATACCAAGGTATTATATTTAAAAAAAAAATCCCACTTTCATCTGCCACTGTTGTATTTTTTTTCTCCAAAGAGTAACTTACAAGTTTTCAGTACAAATCTGTACTACACTGGATAATACTTGTAGGGCTTTTTCTTTAATTCTTTTTTTTTTTTTTTTTTTTTGCCCCTTAAAATTGCTTGGTAATTTTTGGGCACCTTAGAATGTCATGGTAATATTGAGCTATAAATGTCTATTATTTTATATATTAGTGAGTTCCATGAGTATTCTTTGTGTTACATTAATTTTTTCAGTGGGATAGCTTTTTTTGTTTATTTGTTTTTCCATCACAATTTTCCCAGATATGTTAGTGGACTTATACAGTGCTTTTGCCCTCATAGTAGCCTGATCCTGCCAACTCTGTCTTACTACAAGAAGTGGTCCTGGTGATACCAGGTGGGACCACTAACATTAGGATTTACAGGACCAGAGCCTGTGAAAAGAGTAATGAATTGTCATCAGTACAAAAGCACCTCTTTTGCTATTCTAATCAATTTTGTTCCTCTGAAACATGGTTTTTCAGACTGCTTTTTTTCTGGGAGCTATAGACTGCTAAACCAGAACAGACTAATACAATGTATGGAATATTTGTTCTGGTGCAAAAAATCATTAGTGTAATATTTCCAATTTATGACTCCCAGTAACTTCTAATCTGGGTAGCTATCTAGTTAAAGCATTTGCTAATCTGAGAGGTGTACAACATAAAAGTGATGATTAGTGTTATTTTTTCATGTCTTTCTTGCTAGAAGAGCCGGCCAGTCTTGTCTTTTTATATTATTGTGTAAGCAAGCAGTGCATCATCAGAGTTGTAGTTTTCTCCATATTCTTTCAATCTTGTATCTCTTCATCCTTTATGCAGTTTGTGCTAAGGGAATCCTACCTTCCAGTTTCATTGGTACTGAAAGCTTCCGTAACTTGGAAAGCTAAAGGGAGGTAGGAGTTCATCTTTGTCATTTTTCAGTCTTGATGTTTGGTCACATGGAAGAAGAGATTTTATTTCCTCCACTTTACTCTTCATTAGAATTGTAGTTTTGAGTGTGGAAGATGGGAAATAGTTGCCTAGGGAGGCTAACAGACTCCTACACTGCAAAATTCAGTTAAAATGACAATATCAAGATAATTTCTTAACAAAAGGTGATAGCAGCAGCCATTATTTTCCCTTTGGATTCTTTTTGTAGCAAATTTGCAGATATGAATGCAGGTACTTTTAAATTACCAGAGATCTACAATAACAACCTGTTTTTAAATTGGCTAATAGTTCAACTTTTAAATAAATTTTGCGTTCTTCTACATCCAGGTCATAATTTTCTTTACCATTAGCCCTTACAGGGCTTTAGCACAGAAGATGCAGAAGGAGTAAAAGAATGAAGATAACTACTGAGGTTTTTTGTGTTTCGACTTTTTTTTTTTCAATTCCTTTTTTTTTTTTTTCATTATTTCTTGCTGAATCTGATCCATCTAAAAGTCATTTCAGCCCCCAAGAGTGCCTGGAACCTCAGTAGTGGAAAAGCAATATAAATTCCAGAAGAACCAGTAGGACCTGGAAGGTTTTGTTTCTGCACTAATTGAAAGTAAATGAACATAAAACCATATTGTGAGATATACACCTGTACATGTGGACAATCAAATCATAGAAAATTATACCATTTCTTAGAGTTGGGGATATAATGCACTGTACAATCTTTTTTTTCCTCTTTTGCCAAAGTGTGTTTTAGCATTGTACACTGCTTTAAAACAATACAATTTACAAGTGGCTTTACGTGTTGTGAATATTTTTGCCATAAAAAATGCAGTGAGTGGATATTGAGTGGGAGGAAAAAAGAAGAATCACCTAGTTTATAACTGTACACTTTAGCTTGCAAGTTGCTGTATTCAGTAATGCTGTATTTAAATTCTTAAATTGTTTTGTGTCATTAAAAAAGGATAATGAAAGAATATAGATAGAACAAATAGCATTCAGAAGTTTAAAACTTGAATGAAATGGATTTTATAGAAAGCTTTGACAGCTCTTTTCAAATGTGTTATTTATTTTTTGTGCCATGCATTTTTCTCACCAAATGACCTTACCTGTAATACAGTCTTGTTTGTCTCTGTTTACAACCATGTATTTATTGTAATGTACATACTGTAATGTTAATTGTAAATTATCAGTTCTTATTATAACATCATCCTTGTCAGGATGGTGTTGCTGTATCTGGAAACTCTTGGTGAGAGAATGACTATTGTGTATACATATTCCTTGTACATTTCTTCTCCTGTAATATATTCAGTGTCACCACAGAGCTCGTTTATGGAAGATTCAAGAAAAGTATAAAATACATAAAGATATATCGATTTAAAAAGCTGCAGGTCTTTGGTCCCAGGGCTGTGCCTTAACTTTAAACAATATTTTCTTGTTTAGCTGCATTTGAAAGTAAGGTAGCCTTGGGGCTGGGGCTGGGCATTTCTACCACATTTTTAGTTGCTAACTGATGGGGGATACTCTTACGAGCTAATATGTGTAATACTACAATAAATTTTCATTCTTGACCCTGCTGGAAGTTCAAGCTTTTGCAGACTTCTGGTAATGTAATTGTATTGTCTCTGAATATCTTTTTACAGCCTGTAATTGGGGATTATTGCAGCCATTTTTTGTTCCTAAAAAAGATAAATAATTGATGCTGCATTTCAGTGCTGAAATGCACTGAAACAGCTTTGGAAAGCATCTCTAATAAACATTTGATTTTAATGCATATTGTGAAATGGAATGATCAGAATTAAGAGGGTGTAACTCATACACTTTTACAATGTAATGTCTCTTCTTTAGTAGCACAAATGATCACTGTATAAGCAGAATCCATAGTAGGATATACAACTTCAGTCTTGGAAATGCTTTCCAATATTAGTGTTACAAGTAGCCAAAGTTTATTTTATATAGGTGTAGCTAAAGCTTTGTGCAGGTGTGTGTAGCATAGTGCACTAGCTCTCCAGAAGAGCAGTAAACTGTTAGATGTTTTAATAACACTACTACTAGGTTTGCAGGTTGGACTGAGCAACTCTTGCTGTTTGACTTGTCACATTGCTCCAGATAACCTGGAGCTGGTATCATTGAATTTGACAGAGTGAGGTAAAAACCTCTTCTCCATTCCAGTGATGCCCAGCCCTTGTAACTTGCGACTTATTCATGAAAGGAGAGATTCTTTTCCAAGAAAAAACAGAATCTCCTTTTTGACACAAACTGTAGATTTTAGCAGCCCTGGCCCAAAGGAATTCGAATGCTTTTGTTTTATATGGTCTAAAAGGGACACTACAACAACAGAAATCCAGAACAATTTCTTGTTACTGTTTTAATTCGGTATTTTCTTTGGGGATGTCTTGAGAGTGGCAACTTGTGTGAACATTGCACATGGCTATTCTTTCACTGGTTTCTTAGCCTCTCTTACAGCCTATGGGTTAGTACTGTACATCAATACCTTCATATGAAATTTTATATGCAATGGAAATAAAAGCATGTGTTGATTCTGCCTAGTTACAGCATTTGATTTTTTTTTTGAAAGTTAACTTTTTTACATGCATCCCATAGTTTTGACAGCTTAAGAAAAAACACATTTCCAGAATAATTTGATTACCACCATTTTGTCAGAATAGTGTTTTGCATAAATAATAGAAAATAAATATGAGCAAATCAGAAAAGTCAATCAAATATGGTATTTTTTAAGAAGCCTAATCCACAAAGGTATGACTTATAGTTATATTAGAAAGGCATACACTCTTGGTTGTCAGAAAATTTTACCACTTCAATGGCTTTAAAGAAACTAGATGTCTACAGGTTGTCTAGAGGAGCAATATACTGGATTACCACAAAGAAACATAACCAAAACAAAACAAACTAAAAAAAAAGAAAATGTACCACAGTTAAACATTGTCACAATCTCTGTTCCAAATGGATGATAAAAAGAAATTGCTCTTAAAAATAAAATTCATAAATTATAGTGTTTTCTTGAGTAAGAAATATGGTTTTTATGTGAGTCCAAATCTTAAAGTGGTTTTCAGGCACCTTTTAGGTGTCTGGCTTTCAGGTTCAGTGTGGCATTTTGTATGACTCTTTGCTTAACTGAAAATAGTTCATGGTTAAATTAAAAAAAAAACAAATCTATGTTCATTTTTTTCTTTAAGTCTCTTAGGTCCTTCTTCAGGTTTAGCAATTTGTTTGCAAGGAGAATGAATTCTTAGTACTTTTTCATTCACACCTTTGTGTCAGAAAATGCTGGTAAGTTCGGTGTGGGGAAGATGAAGGATGCTGCAGTGGGTGGATAAATTAGATAGTGTCTGTTACTCCTGTCAGGCTCCTTCTTGCATGTTTCCAGCAGCCCTAATAAGAAAATAGCTTGCATACATCATGGCTATTATTATAAGGGAGAAGGAGTCCCAAATTATTGTTGACAGTACTAAAACCTTTTCAGTAAGCAGATCAGGTACCACAGACAGGCGTAATCCTGAAGCTGGCAGCAGTAACTCATAGCTTCCTTCTACATCCTCTTGCATTACTTTGTCAGTCTCTGCCCATGGAAATAATTAATCAGAATAGAGAAGTTTCAGAGCAAAACCAAAATGTATCCCGTGTTTCAGTGCAAACAGCTGCTGCTGTAGCAGTTCAATGTATTTATGAACAAATGACTCTTCTATTTCCTAATGAGACAAATAGTCTGAATAGCTGCAGCTTTGTTTGCTTAATCTCTCTTCAGTGTGGAAAATGAAAGTCACAGCTACTAGCACACGTAGTGTTTACTGGAATGATCAGTACAATTTCTCTCCAGCTGTGATTAATTTTGCTTAGGTTTTTCCAGGAAAATGAAATAGAAAAAAGTTCAAAGATGTTTTAAAAGCCTTAGTTAGTTCAATTTCGTTTTGTCTGAAGAATAAAGAAAATCTCTAGCTTCCTCCTGTCAAACTGGTTGAGAAATCTGCAAAAGTAATAAAGGGGGATAGAAAGTCCAAACAGATATCAGAGTAACAAACTGGGAGCAAAACCTGAGCAGGGAGAAATACTCTCCAACTAAAATAATCTCATCTCATCAAAGATATCCCATAGTTTGAATAAGGACATTAGGAAAACTGAGTTTGAGTTTGATTTTTGTCTCAGTTCCTTGGGTACAAAGCTAT